GTTGTAAGACTATTATTTCAATATATTTTCCTACATATATTTTTGATTAGTTTAAGATTATTTTGATTTAAAAAATTATCTTTACTTTTCACAATTTTATAATAGACTGTAAAAAAAAATATGATTGTTCAACTCCTTTTGGGCTTAACACTGGAAGCAATGTCTTTTTAAGTGTAAATTATATTATATTTTATTGTATAGCAATCCCGGCCTTATCACTTGAGTCTTGTGTTTGAGCGCCTCCCCGGGTTGGATCTCTAATTTACCCTTTTTTTAGTGGCTTATCGTCTTCTCAAAGGTCTAATCTATTTCTGTACCAAATTTCATAGCAATCGGATGAACGGTTTAGGAATGCATAAAGGACACACACACAGACAGGCAAACTTCATTTATATATATAGATAGATAAACACTGGTACAAAAATTCTTAAATCTTTATTATTATACAATCTTCTATTTTTAATTGATAATATTCAAATTCTATACTTGAAAACCAACCAATACTTACAGACTACAGCCTAACAGTTATAAATAAAAATAATAAGCATTTTAAGCATTTATCTTTCTATAGTTAGTTTTTGGAATTTTAAAGGTTTACCTCTAGTAAAAATTGTGCCAGATTTCCAAACCTTATAATGCAATAAGTATGCCATAGTATTCATAGTAATGACATTGATTATAAATACTAACATTTATAATCAATGGTAAAATAATAAAGATCCCTGTTCCATTCACCATTTTAAATCTAAAAAAATATAATTTGTTAAAAAGATACATAATATATTAATTAACTTTGTGTATTAAATTGTAAATATTAAATTTACTTGGAAAAATATACAGTTGAACTTGATTAACTCGAAATCGTCAATACCTCAAACTTTTTCCTGGTCCCTAAAATTTCCTATTGTGTTTTCCTTTGATGACCCAAATTCTTAAATAACTCAATTTAGGTCCCTTGAACTTTGTGTTAACCAAATCCAACTGTATATTTTAGTATTTATATATATTAATATTTAAAATATTTATGTTATAGGTCGTTCCTGGTACGTTCCGCCATTCAAATTCGGATTCTAGTTTGGATCCAAAATATCGAAAGATATCAAAAGTATCTAGCCGTTCAGATATTGTATTAGTATCTCCAACACCTAGTGAAGTGTCCGTAAAACGCATAAAACGACACAAATTATTTCCAATTTTTTTATCTGCCAAAAGTAAAGCAGCTAAATCCTATCAAAACTCAGAAAACACTAATGTAAATAATGATAAGGCGATAAAGTCATCAAAACAAAAATCATGATTTTGCTCATTCCTCTTTATCTGTTGATTGTATATAATAATGATTGTGATAAACATGATTTAAGAATGTTGAAAAATAAGTGATTTATTATTTATAATTGTAATATATTATATGTATTTATGTATCTAGTTTTAGATTGAATTATACACAAAACAAGTAATTCCAGTTATTGTTTTAATAATGTTATGACGTACCTATGTAAATTAATTATTTATTTTAATTATTACATTTTATAGAAGGTGCCTTAAAAGTACTTAGAGCTGTTAAATGGTACTTAATTTATAAAGACAAGGAAATCTATATAATTTTTTTATCAACCCTTTTGATGTGATTGTTGAACTCAAGAACATTATTTATAGGACTGAACAATGTAAAAACTATATTAGACAATTATCTGCAATAATAAATGTAATGATATTATTTTTAAAAATTGTTTACATTTTCAAGTGAACACAAGTTATTTAAAGACATTGTTTTTATTATTAAGTTGCTAATCTTAAGTTAATGTTAATTTCCATCCATAATCGTGCAGAATTATACTTTGTTGATTGTTAAAATGTATACCAAAATATATAATTAGTAATTTTTTTCATTTAAGATTATGATTAGAACTTAGAATTTCTAAAATCCTTATAATACTAAAATGTTTTAAATTGTATTTATGAAAGGTTCTGTACAACATTGAATAACTGTAGGTACACTTTTTTTAACAACCAATGTAGGAAAATGCAAGTTAACTGTTTGATATAAGATAATAACTTATTGTAACCTTTAAAATTATTTAAGTATCAACTTATCAGTTATTACAATATTTAATATTCCATAATATTTGAAAAAATACATCATCCAATATAATATAATTTTAAATTTTACTACTTCTTTACCCATATTTTATACATTATTCATGATCATGTAGGAATATTACGCAATTTAATTATTTATGAATATTATCATAATATTTTAGTGTAAAGAAATACAATACAATGTAATATAAAATATGTATTATTCACTCATAGTCTTATTTTCTTTTAATATATAAGAATGAATGTTTTTTAAGATCGTAAAAAAAAATGGTGCAGTGTTAATTGTTTTGTTTTTAAATTTTATTTATTATACATAGTTTGTATTTTTTTTTCTATATTTCCTAATAATTTGTCATAAGATAGAAATAAAAGTTTTTATAGCACATCATTGAAGTAGTAGTTATTTAATGGTTTTAAGTTTTATTTAAACATATATTCTTACAATTATGACGTGTAAAAATATAACTAATTTTGTTTTTGGATAGTATTCATTAATTAATATAATTCTGTATTTACGAAAAATAAATTATAAATAATATTTTAACCATAGATAATAGATACCAAAATCAATTAAATTAAATTTGAAAGAGCTAGGTATATTAGGGCCGGTTTTTCAATTGTTATAGTAACTTATAATATTCTATAGACGTAAATTAGTAATAACCATATATTATATTATATAGAAAGATCTGATACAGTGACACATACCTATCTAATTATTATTTATTAGAACTGAAGTGAATGTGATTTTTGTAAAAAGTTAATATCTTGCAATGTTGAGACTCCAAAATAATGTATAATGATAAAATAATAAACATTACTGGCCAATTATTAAGGAACTTGGAATTTCATGCATTATACATTTGCATACCTATTTATTACGGGACTGCATGTTAGCAATTTTGTATATTTAAAGATTTTATACAATAATAAATTGAAATGAATAAACTCCATAAAAAAGATAGTTAATAATTTTTCATTGGGTTTTGTTTATATATTTATCTTAAATTAAAAATAAAAAAAAAATGAATAATATAAAATATGTTTATTTTTTTACATATTTAAGAAATATTTTTAGTGTGGTTATGCAAATATTTCAATAATTATTATCCATAGGTTCCACACAATGTAATGACTAATCAACTAATGATAAATTATGCTTGATTTGTAAGCATAAAATCTATAAACATTAAATATTTAATACCTACCTAATATTGTTTAGGAAATCCGAAACAGAAAATAAAGTAGGTGCCTACTAAAGTTCTGCTTTCATTTGAATACCTCGGAGTATCAATTCCTATCATTATTTATTTGTTTAAATATATATAACTGAAATATTCCTTAAAATGGAAAAAATCATTAATGCATATGATTTTAGCATAATGTATAATGCAGAGTGCAGGGTTATACTTTCAATATATTGGTGAGTGACGACGTGACGTGTCTGTATTATTATTATATAGTAATTGTTGACGCTTATATTAAATGGCGGTGTTAATAGTGAATTACTACAACATAATTAAAAATATAATATGATATGAAAATTCTAATAATATTGTGCACAACTATTATATAATAATATAATATAAAATATTTACATAAATTAATGTAATATCATCGTATTTGAGTACCTATCTATTTATTTTTAAAAATATAAACCGCGCGACCAAACCTTTCGTTTGTGTCACGGACGTTGCAAACGTAGCACGTGGTGTAAAACATCTTTGGCGGTGGAGCGGCAGTCGCCACGCTATTGGCTAATACGCATCCATTGTTATCGATGGATACCGTGGGAAACGGACGAACAGTCGTTAAGGTTACGTTTCTGTCACTCACTTCGATCCCGCGCCTCTTGTTCGCCGCGCTGCTCCGTCAGAATATTCGTTCTTTCGAAGTCGCGTACTTGTACTTGTGGTGTTCAGGACTTTCGCGCGACCGCCGTACGTACTCCGTGCCCGGTGGACCGATTTACCAGCACTCACCCGCGGCGATTCACTGCAAGACCAGTAATCCTCCTACGACAGTTTTTTCGACATCCGTCAGGTAAGATCTCTACGCACTTTGTCCGGTTATTACTATTATTATTATTATAATTATCGGTGACGAGCGCGCACTCCGCACGCCGACCGACCATGTGCTTCCAAGGATTCTGCGTTTCACGGTCCGTCGTATAATATTGTAATGCCGGCGTCATCCGTTGACCGCCGTGTTAAACACGTGTCGCCGCCGTCTTCGGTTTTCACTTTTATTAATGCGACTTATGCCCACTTTGAGGCCTCCGGTTTCTCAGCATTAACGTCGGTGATAAGGTGGTGTGAGAGGTTAGGCACTAGGGCGGCCGTTCGACCGCCGCCCGCGATCAAACGAGGTTTCCGAACCTTTCGAGCCTCTTCGAAAACTTGCGTTTTCCTCACGGAATTACGAAAGTCCATCGTGTGATTCCGAATTTTCCGTTAAAATACGATGCCATCATCGATATTATTGAGGTTATCGATATGACATGACGTAGGTGCCTCCTATTTATTTCAACCGTCCGCCGTCGTCGTTTATTACGTCTTACATTATTATTTAATTGTATTCTCGTCGAACGCACCACGCAAACCGCGTGATTGCGTGAATACTGTTGCAAATTAAGAAACGTTAAATTGTGTAAATTTATATTATTCCTAGTTTTATAATTCGTGTTATAGGTAATATTATGGTAGGTAGATTTAAAATATTTTAGGTGGGTAGATTAGATACCTATTATTTTTGTGCAGAGTAGACTTTGAGTTATGATTCATGTAATTTGACCCATCATTATACTGTAATGACCTTGTTTTAAAGTAATCATTGGTAGGTATACTGTATTACTGCGTTTAATCGACTGATATTTAAAATTAAACATTATTCTTAACAGAATGTCTGCAGAAAATGAAATTGGTGATTCTTCATCCTCCGGTTCCGAAATGGAACAAGACACTCCGCATAAACATAAATCTGGTTTTAAAGGAGAAGGTGATGATATAATGCCGGTAAGATAACTGCTAAAATTAAAATACCATATTACTTAGAAAATTATTTTAATGTAGTGTATATTTACATAATGTATTTGTATTTTGTGGTAACTGTAACCCTCAATTGCAAGTTTTTTTATGTTTGTCTAGAATTTCGATTGTCTTATTTTTTTTTTTTTTTATTAAAAATGTACACAGTTGACATTAAATTGTGTTCAATGGTTTAAAGTGTAAAAAAAAAAATTTTACTGATTTATATTGATTAATTTTCCCTCCAAAAAATGTATCACATAAATTTTTATTTTTATATATTTAAAATAGCCCATGGGCAATAAATATGAAAACGTAAAAATTACAACTTAGTCTAAATCTAAATAATTTAATTTATTTGGTAAAATGTCTATATTTAGTACCTATAGCTGTTCTCGGGGTCTTAAATTATTTTATAATATTAAAGTTAATTATGTACACCAATTTTAGAAATTTTAAGGAAATTCTTAATTAAATTAATATTTTAAGTTTTATTTTGTTTTTTTATTTATATTTATTTAGAATCTTCCACCAATAGTCAAAAAACGTGTCAAGGCTTTGAAAAAGTTACTTGTATCACAAACTGATGTTGATACAAAATTCTACACTGAACTTCATGTTCTTGAATGTAAATACCACAAAGAGTATTTGGCATACTATAATAAGGTAAAATACATAATAATATATTCTAATATTTTAGTTTAATACATTTATATATTTAACATTTTAGCGAAGTGATATAGTTCAGGGCAACTATGAGCCTACCGAAGAAGAATGTGATTTTCCTTCTGATGAAGAAGATGATGTCAAGGATCTCTCTACAGATATGGAAGGAAAAGTAAAACTTGAGGAATCTAAAGCGTAAGCATATTATCTATATTCGTATATTATAGTAACTTTTCTTCCACATTTTTATGTATAATTGTACATAATATTGTATACAGTAATGATGGTATAGTTGACGGTACTAGCGACAAATTGAAAGGCATTCCAGACTTTTGGCTAACTATTTTAAAGAACACAAGTCTTATTAGTGATATGATTCAACCCCATGACGAACCTATTCTTAGTCATTTGACAGATATCAAAGTTTATCTGTTAGAAGAACCCATGGTATGTTATTTTGGGCACTAATCATTAAAATTTAAAATATTAGATACATTTATTTATTTACTATTATAGGGTTTTGCTTTGGAATTCCATTTTTCTCCTAATGAATGGGTTTTTACCAATTACTGTATTAACTAAGGAATACGAAATGAAATGTGTACCCGACAAGAGCAATCCATTAAGTTTTTGAAGGGACCCTGAAATTTTCAAGTGTAAAGTATGTGTATATATTTTAAACTATTAGAAAGCATTGATTATAATAAAAATAAAAAATGTAGGGCCTGCACTATTCAATGGAATAAAGGAAAGAATGTGACAGTGAAAGTGGTCAAAAAGAAACAAAAGCATAAGGTTAAGGGTGCTGTTAGATTTGTTAACAAGACTGTCCAAAATGTATCATTCTTCCACTTCTTCAGTCCTCCTACTGGTGAGTTAATAGCCTTAAAAATAGAACTATACAATAAATATTTAAATAATTAGTATTAATATACATTTCTCATTTAAATTTAATTTCATTAACTAATATTTTTCTTTATAAAAGCATTTAAAATTGATTATGATAAATTATTTAAAATTAGTAATTTATCTTTCCATAATGCTGATAATAACCGGCTTCAACAACTACCACTTTGGCAAACTGTGTAATAGTGGCTTTAATTGAGCCTATAAAACAAATAAATTCTTAAATAAGAGATACCTAATTTAATTATAATTATTAAAACTTTTATTTATATTTGATTCAAAGAAAAAAAATCTAAATGTTCAATGATTTATTGTGATTCTGTATAAATTTATTATTTTTTAATTGCACACGTTTTTTAATTGCATTATTATGGAATTTCAGTACCAGATGATCCAGAAACTGAAGTTGATGAAGAAATTGATAATTTGTTGACAACAGATTTCGAAATTGGCCATTACATTCGTGAAAGGATAATTCCTAGAGCTGTGCTGTACTACACAGGTATGATTTGGTAACATTTTTTTCTTACATTATTTTACGTTTCTGATTTTTAATTTAATTATAGGTGAAGCATTATTGGAAGAAAATGATTTTGATGAAGATGATGAAGAGGAAGAGTCTGAAAATGACGAAGACGATGAAGATGATGATGAAGATGAAGGAACTGTTAACGATCCCGAGTACAATCCACGTCAAGATAAACTGATAAATAAACAGGTCAACCCAGCTGAATGCAAACAGCAGTAAATTGTATTAGCGTTAAAACCTCATGTGTACTCGTTTTACAAATAAATAAAAATTAAAAAAAAAACTTCACTCATAATAAGTAAGTCCACAAGTTATTGAGATTAAGCCTTCATTCATTGTTATGTGATCAGTTGAGTATGAACTATAAAGTGTATTTTATACATTTCTTTAACTTTATACACTAATAAAACTATTTTTATATTATCATATATATTTTTTTTATTATTATTACAAGAAGTTTGTACTAGTAGAATACATATTATTGGTATTCAGTTATATAATGGCTAATATATATTTTTTTTTTTATATGGCTGTAAATTTTTTTGTACTATGTTGATATTAATTGATAGGTAGGTCAGTGACACTTAGGACAATAGTAGTTTTGGACTGATTTTTCAAGATAAAGATATAAAAAAAAAAGCGTACACTGTAAAGTGACCTATGTCTATTTTGAAAAAAAAATCAGATTTTAATGATCCTTTAACACATAAGATACAGTGTTGTATAAATTATAGTGTCATTAACTTATTTAACAACATAAATGCTCAACAATTAATTTTTATTTTAATGTAAAATTGGTCTCCCGTATTGAAATATAGGCATTTCCTAATCCCAGAAAAAACTCATTTGAATGAAATAACGTGTTTTGTTGTCTGTTGGGTTCCTTCGATTAAATATAACCTTCCGGAGATCAAACAAAGCTAAGAAAACAATATTTTAGTATTTAAGAATTGCACCCCAGGGAGAAAAAAAAACTTTCAACAATTTTCAAAATAACCTAACTGTACCTTTAAGCAGTTAAATCTAAAATCTTAAATGTTGATGTTTATGATCGGTATTTCTTTTGTATCAGATATCTTTAGTGTATGTTGGTCCAGTATGTGATGTATTTATGGAAAAAGGGTAAATACTTATAATACTTGTAGTTTTATTTTAAGCATTTTAGTTTGTTGACTTATCGTTATATTGTAGGTATAATTATTATGTAATTTAAAGTGGGTATTTATCTTACAAAATATTTTCTTAGCTTATTTTAAATATTGTTAAACATTTTAATGTAATGAGTTATTCCTTGCAATTATAATAATTATTACTGGCTTCAATTTTTACCAAACAAATAAAATTGTGTGACATTTAAGGATCTACATAAAACTGTCTTATTTTTTTACATGTAACTACGAGATATTAATAAATTATTGACTATGCTACTATTAGTTGTAAACAATTTATTTTTACTATATACTTTTATTTGAAAGTTTTGTAACAAAGTAAAAAATTAATGGTATTCCTGTAATGTGACTAGGAAAATTCTTTGATTTTATTATCATTACAATTATGTGGAGGTTAGATAACTTTTGAACTTCGATCTTTAATAAAGCAAAGGCATTTATGCTTTCATAGTCTCATATAATAATATACATTTAGGTTGCTATAGCAAAGTATATAATAAATATAATATTAACTGAGTGAAATTGGGCAAAGCGGCAGCAGCAACCATAATACGGTTATGAAAAAATCTATTAACTTTATTTTTAAATTATAAACAAGATGTAAGGAAAATAATGGCAGAAGAGGACATCGCACCCGCATGTGTTGCTCCATCTTATGGTGCAGCTTTTGCAACATTTGAGTATGAATACATAAATACATTTTCCTCGGTTTTTTTTGATGCCGCGTGGCAAACTTTTTGATCGACCTAGTAGGCTCTCTGCAGCAAAGGAAAACCGCTTATGTGTGAACCAGGCCCGGCTCAAGGGGTAGGCGACATAGGCCCACGCCTAGGGCGGCACATAAGCAGCACTTTAGTAAGAGGGCGGCATTTTCAAAATACTGATAATATTATATTATTAGGGGCGGCAAAATTTGATTTCGCCTAGTTCACTATTTTCGCTTGAGCCGGTCCTGGTGTGAACATATTTTCGGCAAAGCCGCGAGGTATCGTTACTTATTTTTTAAGTAATTAGTTGCCTAACCAACTTTTCAATTGCCGCACAGTCTGGAAGCGCCTTTACGCAAGTATGACAACATGGTAATTTTTCAGGATGCTGTTAGTTTTGATATTTAGGTAATATAATACCATATGTGTTCTCTCGTTGGTTTTTTATTATATTTAAATGTTTATATTCGAAAATGCTCATAACTCACTCAAAAATAGAAATATCGTAAAAAACCAACTTAAAAGTTTGATAATAGGTCAATTCTCTCTAATATCAAAACTGACAACACCCTTTATAGGGTTTCAATATTGAAATTAGTGAACAAAAATTTGGTACGAGTATGTCGTACGTCTGTAAATAATGTTCTTTAATATTCATTTAATTGACGAACCAACCTTTTAAAAAGTAAAATCTGGTACGTACTACGTAGTAGTTATGTAGTATGTACTATGTACTGATTTAGGTATAGAATATGCGGACTGTTGAATATCACTGGAGTAGGTAGTATATATGTATACTAATTACTAACTCATTGAGATATCATGAAGGCAAGGAAATTTATATAAATGAGGCTGGACTGTATTCTTCAGTACCTACCTATTGAAATCAAAATTAAAATCTGCTGAAAATTTTCAAATGTATGTATATAGTGAATTAATACCAGGTATTCGTAAAATAACTCAAAGAAAATATGAGAACGAGATAAGCAGCAGAGGCAATAAAATAGATACTTTAATATTACAAAATACAAATATAATATATCGTTTGGAGTCTATGGAAAAAACTCAAAAAAGTAATGAAGAAACAAATATTAAATTGGACGACATAAACAATAAACTCGGTAAAGCTTGATCGAAATGTTGATCCAGTGGATAAAGAATTAATACATCAATATATACTTTTTAAAAATAAATTAATAGATAACGAATACATGTTCTTGAGAGGTCAGGATAAATATATAAGAAATAAAATTAATTTTAACAAGGACAATTTTGATATTATTATAGAACCAAGAAAAAATCCTAACCCTATAGATTTAGTGAACAGACTTAAGGAAAAAATATCACTTATAAATGAAAGTAATTATTCTTATAGGTATTGTAGATAATTTTTAGTGTTCGGGTGAGTACAAAATATTATCTAATACCACAAAATGCAAAACGATTTTAAATTTAAAAAAAGAAAATTCTAAAATATTATATCGAATAAATAAAATAACATTATTAAATTATTCAGAAAAAATGTTTCCTTTTGTGCCAGTACCCTCAATTATAATTTTTACTTAACACATATCATACTATAAAGAACTACAATGATACAAAATACAATAATGTATAAAGAACCAACCTAAATAGTAAATATAAAAAACTCAAATGGTTCCAGTTTCTATGACGGATAAATCATAAATGATTCTCAGATGACTCTTTTATAATATATCATTAGGTATATTATTTGGGGGGGCAAAAAAAATGTTGGTGGCTAAGCCCCCCTTCATCCCCCAACTAATTACGCCTATGGCCAGAGAGTAGGGCCTCTATACTTGGGATAATGGGCCGGACCCTACCCAGTCCGGCCCTGTAATCACAACGATAAACATTTGATGTTAAATAATGTATGATGATACATACGATGTCATTATATTAACGGAAGCAAATAACATGATAATGTTGTTTGCCACAAGAATATTGTTGGAGATATTTCCGGAACGATAACGTTAGATATTTAATGAGTGTGTGTGACTGTGTGATGTGCAAATAATATAGGTAATTGTAAAAAAATATTGATAAAATTTAAAATTAAAATTAAAGTAGGTCAATAAATGTTCATAAATCATAATACATAGGTTCATAGTACACTAATATATTAAGCGATACATGAACAAATATTCTAGTAACATGTAAATATTTCAAAATATTGTAATATTAAATAATCCAAATCATAAAATTCTTTTTTTAATCGGTGATCTAAAAGCTGCTGCATGGACGCAACAT